GCGCGGAGTCAGCAAGGAGGAGGTGATCCGACTGAAGCAGAAGAGGCGGACCCTGAAAAACCGTGGCTATGCCCAGTCCTGCCGCTTCAAGAGGGTGCAGCAGAGACACGTCCTGGAGTCCGAGAAGAACCAGCTGCTGCAGCAGGTCGACCACCTCAAGCAGGAGATCTCCAGGCTGGTGCGCGAGAGGGACGCGTACAAGGAGAAATACGAGAAGTTGGTGAGCAGCGGTTTCCGAGAAAACGGCTCGAGCAGCGACAACCCGTCCTCTCCCGAGTTTTTCATGTGAGTCTGACACGCGATCCCAGCTAGCCACCTTGATAAGTGCTCCGTGGGGGTCCAGCTCGGGTGTGGGCTTGCTAGTTCCAGAGCCATGCTCGCCACCACCTCACCCCTCCTCCACCGAGTTTGCCCCATGGCCCCTACACACACACACATTCACACACACACACACACACACACACACACACACCTTACTCTGAGTTTGTGATGGTGGTGGCTGTTTTAAATTGGGGAGGGAATAGGTGTCTGGCTCATGGATTGCCAATCTGAAATTCTCCTTAACTTGCTAGCTTTTTTTTTTTTTTTCACACACCCCCCTAGCCGGGACTTGCACAATGTTCAAAGCTCTCAGCAGAATTCTTCATGTGAAACATTGCTCACCTTTGAAGCCTGCATCATTCACATATTTTTTTTTTCTCCTTCTTCAGTTCATGAGCTGGTGTTCATTTTCTGTGTGTGTGTGTGTGTTTTATTTTGTTTGGATTTTTTTTATTATTATTTTACTTTTTGGAGCTTGCTGTGTTGCCCAACCTCTCCCTTTACTCCCTTTCCACCCACCCATCTCCTCCAAGATAAAAGAAAAAAAAGAGCAAAGTTTTTTTTCTCCACCTGAGTTCTTCATGTGAGATTGAGCTTGCAAAGGAAAAAAAAATGTGAAATGTTATAGACTTGCAGCGTGCTGAGTTCCATCGGGTTTTTTTAGCATTGTTATGCTAAAATAGAGAGAAAAAAATCCTCATGAACCTGCCACAATCAAGCCTGCATCAACCTTCTGGGTGTGACTTATGAGTTTTGGCCTTAGGATGCCAAATCTGAGAGTTCAGTCTGCCATTAAAAAACTCATTCTCATCTCATGCATTATTATGCTTGCTACTTTGTCTTAGCAACAATGAACTATAACTGTTTCAAAGACTTTATGGAAAAGAGACATTATATTAATAAAAATAAAGCCTGCATGCTGGACATGTATGGTATAATTATTTTTTTCTTTTTTTTTTTCCTTTGGCTTGGAAATGGACTTCGAAGACTTATAGCATGGCATTCATACTTTTGTTTTATTGCCTCATGACTTTTTTGAGTTCAGAACAAAAAAGTGCAACCTTAGAGCCTTCTTCCCATGAAAGTTTGCATCTGCTCCAAAACTGCTTTGAGTTCCTCAGAACATCAGCCTCCCATTGTAAATGCACTGAAGGCATTCCTTGTCAAAGATACCAGAATGGGTTACAAATTTCACATGGCAAACATTAAAGAACTCATAATGTTTTCTTATTGATAAGAATGGCACCCCACTTTGGGGGCAAAAATTGTGCTGTTTCCGAAAGCAGTCTAAAATTTATTTTTTCAAAGAAAAGAAATCTGCCCCATTATTTTGGTTTGTTTTATTTTTATTATTATTATTTTTTTTGGCTTTTGGTCATTGTCAAATGTGGAATGCTATGGGTTTCTAGTATATAATTTAATTCTAGTTTTTATAATCTGTTAGCCCAGTTAAAATGTATGCTACAGATAAAGGAATGTTATAGATAAATTTGAAAGAGTTAGGTCTGTTTAGCTGTAGATTTTTTAAAAGATTGATGCACTAAATTGTTTACTGTTGTGATGTTAAGGGGGGTAGAGTTTGCAAGGGGACTGTTTTAAAAAAGTAGCTTATGCAGCATGTGCTTGCAACTTAAATATAAGTTGGGTATGTGTAGTCTTTGCTATACCACTGACTGTATTGAAAACCAAAGTATTAAAAGGGGAAACACCCCTGTTTATATCTGTAGGGGTATTTTACATTCAAATGTATGTGTTTTTTTTTTTTTTCAAAATTAAAGTATTTGGGACTGAATTGCACTAAGATATAACCTGCAAGCATATAATACAAAAAAAAATTGCAAAACTGTTTAGAACGCTAATAAAATTTATGCAGTTATAAAAATGGCATTACTGCACAGTTTTAAGATGATGCAGATTTTTTTACAGTTGTATTGTGGTGCAGAACTGGATTTTCTGTAATTTAAAAAAAAATCCACAATTTTAAAGGCAATAATCAGTAAATGTTATTTTCAGGGACTGACATCCTGTCTTTAAAAAAAAAATGAAAAGTAAATCTTACCACAATAAATATAAAAAAATCTTGTCAGTTACTTTTCTTTTACATATTTTGCTGTGCAAAATTGTTTTATATCTTAAGTTACTAACTAACCTCGCGTGATGTTCCTCTGTGCTTTCCTTTCATTTTCAATTCTGGTTATATCAAGAGAAAAAATAATCTACAATAATAAACTGCTTTTTTTTTTTTTTTTTGATTCTGTACTAAGTTTCTTAGTGTACAGTTTAACTGGGCCCAAGAACCACATTAGAAGTGTAAAATGCATCCTTTTTTTCCCAGTGGAAAGATTAATGGCAGAGTAGAGAAGCGATAATTCAGGGTGAAACATAGTTGTTTTGTGAGGCGAGGGGGCTGGCCCCATATAGTAATTAGCAATATTTAATTTGGATCTAAATTATGACCTCTCAATTTTTTTTTTCTCCCTGAAGTTTGCAGTTTTCCAATGAGTTGAGCCATCACTGCCCTTTGGTGCAAAACCTAAACCGTGGATCTGGCCTTTCTGAAGGTGGCCCTAAGCGTCTGACCCAGAGGCTAAGCCATCTAGAGATGGCAAACATGGCAGGTCACAGCGAGTTTGGGTGTAGGTGCATTTAGTGGGAAAGATAAACAATTCTCGCCTTCCAACTAAAAAGGGTTATTTTTCCTTCTTTTCTTATACACCATGATCTTTTTTTTTTTTCTTCTTTTTGCTAGCAAGGCCTGACAAGCTTTAACATAAACACTGGACACATTAAAATTGTTTGTTTTATTTTGCTTTTTTGTAACTTTGAAGGTCATTTGTCTTAAATAGGAAAAAGAAAATCCAGTCCTTATTTCCATACCTCCAGGTACATATCTGGTTGAAACAGTGTTACCAAATCACATTTCACTGTGGGTATTCAGTGCAGGGCTTCCCCATTCAGACAAACTGGTAATGATTTCAGATCACATTAGCCCCAGAAACATAAGCAGAAAGTAACACCTTTGTGGAATAAAGGCTGTGCTTTGATTTATGGGTATTCACCCCCAAACAGGCTGTGTATGGGCTTCAACTTAAAGATCATTTGGAAAGACTAGAGCAACCCTCACTAGTAGGGCTCCTAAGCATTGACCTATTTTTAAATGACACAGATTCATTGCAACTACTGTTACAAATTCATGCAGTTTGCACTCTTAGTCAACTTCCACTAAAGCGCTCATAGAATATTAGACAAAGCCAGCACTGTTTTGAAAATATAACCAAACACAATGACTTTTGTCTTATTTTGTTTTTGATTCTTTAAAAAAAAAAAAAGAAAGAAAAGAAAAGAAAAAAGATAATTTTGCAACTCCGAGCGCAAGCCTTATTTTGAAAAAAAAAAAAAAAAAAACAGGTTGTGCTTGGCGCTGATGAGTTCTGGCTGGTTTATCATCTGGTCTCCCTGCCTCCTTCACAGCACACGAAGACAGTGGATACCCTCCACATTTTGACCTTCCTTTATGTGCCAGTTTGGATATGGTTCCTGAATCCACACTTAATTTTGCTTAACGAAAGTCGTAGTAGTAAATCTATTCCCATGTGCTAGAAGTTAGCTGTTCTTGGCTTCAGGGATTTTTCACCCCTCTAATCATGACTAGGAGATACACACTGTCTTTCTGAAGCACAAATGGAGATACCACTTTTACAAAAGGCTCAGTATCCAATAAAAATTTTTAGGCAAACCCATTCTCAAAAGTGACATTCAGAACACAGTTCTTGCAGTTACCTTACGAAGAATGGGACTTGAACTAGGAAAAAAAGTACAGTTGTGCAACAATTAAGCATTTTGATAAGCATATGTGAGGCAGGTTTAATACAATAAGTAGGTTTGCTTCCCACCCCAAACATTAGAAAGCAGAGTAACCAGGTGCTAACAGAAAAAAAAAAAAAAGGAGTTTGGGTGTCTGTATGAGGTTAACTCTCAGTGGAAGGCTTATTTAGGAAGGAGGATGACTTAAAAACTTTGAAAGACAGTGTGAATGGCAAACACAAATGAGGCTTTTTTTTCCCCAAAGAACTCATAAGTCCTGCATAGGTGCCGTGCATTGCAAACAAGTCTCTCCATTAAAACAAGAAATCATGTAAGGAAACCTAGCTTTTCCCTTTACGCTGCATTTGAGTCTTTGTCTAAATAGTGTTAAAATTCCTTTCATTCCAATTACAGAACTGAGCCCACTCGCAAGTTGGAGCCATCTGTGCGATATGCTACATTTTGGAAGCCCCAGCAACGTGTACTTACAAGTGTGTTCACAAAGTGAAATTTATGTGAGAGCTGTATATTAAAATATTATTATTTGCAGTCATGGAGAACAACCTACCCCTGACTTTCGTTTAGTCTCCTTTCTAAAGGACAATAATTGTGTTAGAGAAGAAAGCTATTAAATGTGTAACCTCCGTACTAATTAACTCTGCCTCTTGTCTTGAGGGTCTTCTATGCAGCCCCACAGAAAAGCACATCATGCTTCCCAATTTACCGTGTGTGCAACTGAGCAGGTGTGATCGTTTTCCACCTGTAATTTTAGTTTTAAAAATTCACCGAAATTAGAGATATACTATGTGTGTATGTGTGTGTGTGTGTGTGTGTGTGTGTGTGTGTGTGTATATACCTAGATGTGAAGAAAAGTTTCCCAGACAGTGACAGTCAGCATTTAAGAGCATATATAGACAGGTACATCTAAACAGTACTTCTTCACGTGTCATTGTTTCTCCAGCAGATAATTTTACTAAGAAGCAAAAAAAAAATACCCCTTCCCCAAACAGACATCATTGACAGAAGCCTTAGGAGAGCTAAGCACCTTGGGTTGCTCACAGGCCTTAGGTAGTACTGTATTTATCCATGATGTCAAACGTGTTCGTTTATCAGACATAGCTGTAAATGAAAATACAAAGTTAGTTAAATACACCTCCTTT